TGGCCACTTGAACTTTGTACTAAACTTATACAGAGCTACATAATGTAGTAGTGAACTAAATCTACTTCTTTCTCAGGTCAATCATTCTCATCGATATCACATCCTACAGAGGTTTTAGTTCAGTTTTCCAATACATTTGATTATCATAAGATTTATTATATAAGGTAGTTGAATGTTAACAACAATAGCAGTATTACACCATATCACAATATGGTTATGACACAGTTTGGTTACAAGAAAGTCAGAAAACATCACAGAAGGGTTTACCAAACCTTTCTAAGAGATTTGTTCTTTGTCCATATACCAGATATTATCATGGACAAATGTTATTACCAGTGGTGATGATTCTGTCATTTCCAGTTCCATGTTAGCTGAGGATAAATCCAATTGTTTGCTCAATTCACATTATTAAATAGTTACAGGTTCCCAGATGTTATATACCAAAGCCCTTTCCCTCCCATGGGGAATACATGAGTATCATTTAGTATTATTCTTATTCCAACTATCTCTTCTTATTTTGGTCCATCTGTGGTCAAGATCAGTCTGAGATCAGTGATGCAAGTTAAGATTTCACTCAGAAAATTTCCATAAATTTGGGAACCTGCACGTGTTTCAAAGTTGCTCTCTCCTCGTCCCGCCCCTATGGAAAGTAGTATGGACATTTCTCAGAAGACTAAAAATGTATCTGCTATATGACCTAGCAATTCCACTCCTAGGTATCTACCCCAAAATTACAAAAGCACTAATTTGAAAGGAAACCTGCACTCCTATGTTTATAGCAGCACTATTTACAACAGCCAAGATACTGGAACAATCTAAGTGCCCCAAAACAAATGAGTGAATCAGGAAGTTGTGGTGTATATACACAAAATGGAATACTACTCAGCAATACTACTATCCAAACTAATAAACTTAGGACATTTGCAGTAACATGGATGGAGTTAGAAGGGATTATGCTAAGCGAAATAAGTCACATGGAGAAAAGTAAATACCCGATGGTGTCACTTATACACAGAATACAGAAAAACCAAATGAAGGATAAGACAAAAACTTTGAGGCCAACCCTTGAAAGCTGGCCATAGATCTGCAGGTTTCAGAGGTGGATGGAGAGGGTGAGAATGGTTGGGGGAGAGCACAATGGACTATGGTGGAGGACTCTGGGTGTTTCAGTGGTAGTGGTGGGGAAATCCTATCCTGTCAAAATACTAGCAAGGATGTAAAACAATGGTACTTCAAAAACAATTTAAAAAATTAAAAGTTGGGCCTCCCTGGTGGGGCAGCGGTTGAGCGCTGGGCTGCGAATCTGCCCGCTGCCTCTGCAGCACCGGTTCGATCCCCGGCACGCCGGCAAGAGTCCCACATGGCCCGCAGACCTCTCCTGCCGCGCCTGCTGCTCCCCTCAGCAGTATGTTTCATCGGTCTGTCTGTTCTGTTCCCTGCTCTGGCTCTGGTGAATCCTCCACCCTCCTGTGCTTTTGACTGTACCCAGTGCTTGCATAAATAAATAAATCTTAAAAAAAAAAAATAAAAAGTTGCTTTCCTTGAGCTACTACCATCACTAAAAAATGGAAGGCTATTCCCCATGGCTACTTGGGCCTCAATTTGAAATAAAATAAAATAGTAAACAGACCATATTAGAGTGTATGCTCTTTCCCAGGGCTGAGTGCTAGCATTCTTTAGCATTATGTTGTGGGTCTGTGTAACATACTACCAAGGCTATCCAAGTGTTTTCCTTTCCAATGAAATTATATATAAGAATTATAAGATATAAGAATTTATATTTCCTCCAATCTGTCTATTTTATTTTTTCTTCTCGAAAGCACTCTTAATTAAAATTAAATTTAGCTTGTCGCAGTATACCTACGTCAGCTGCTATTTCACACAAAGCCCTCTGTTGTTTCATTGGCCAACATTTAATCCAGCAGTGCCTTGTAGCCATTGAGTATTAATTGCTTGAGTGCAGTTAGGATACATGCACTGTACCCCAAAATGTTGGGTGTCCCATATCAGAGAAAAGTGTATAGTGGTCACTCCAAATTTAATATAGTCTGAGCATGCCATAAGGTTTTCCATAATCTTCCTTGTCTCAGGTTAGAGTTGTTCCTAGTGGGGATATGAATCCACCTCATAATGCCTAATTATATTTTCAATCACTGATAGATTTCACTTTGTTTGAAATTTTCCATCCACAAAAACAGATTATATGTATTCTTCAACATCATACCATGACATATCAGGCATTCAGCCACTACGTGTTGCCCATTAGATTTGGACATTTGGTCATAAAAATTTACACAGCTTTCAGTCTGCCTAACATTATATAATATGCATCATAATGGTTTAGAAGGAAGAAATTCCAGAATATTCTAGTGAATTCCTAATAGTCTAATTCCTAATATTCCTAGTGAAAGGAAGTCTCTATAACTCAGTTTCATTACCACTAAAATAGGGATAATATAGTTAAACAGTTATAATCATCAGATGCATGAGGCTCTGCCTTTTAAAAAACAAATAGGAAATCATGAAAATTAAGAAACATGTAAATGGAATTCTAGAACTTCCAAATATTTATAAGCAGAATGGATTACCAGTCATATATTTAATTCTTTAGTGACCAAAGGACAAGGATATTAAGTAGTGAAAGAAAATCTCTCAGAAACCTTTTCTAAAAGGTGAAGTTTGAATGCTATTCTTGATCATTTGTAAAGAAGATAGCTTTTATAAACTATATTTTAAACCATGAAAATTACTAAAATGAACAATGAAACTACAGTTAAATATCCAATGAAGCTTGTGCAATACCAAGCAGTTCTTTACACAATGTATTATGTGGGTCAACACATGGTGTAATACCGTGTTAATAGGTTTATCATAGCACTTAAAATACAGAAATACATACTTGACTAGAAACATGCAAACCAAACACTCCTGTCATTGTAACTATAATCTTTGAATAGTCAGTCACACTAGATACCAATTTCTTTCCAACCTCAGAGATAAAAACAGCACAATATACAAATGTCAAATATTAACACAGTGTGAAACTACTGAATGGTCTGGCACAGGAACTTTAAACGTCCTTTTGACCACAGCTAGTAACAGGCTGAACCCGCCACCAATGTGATAAGGTACTTCTCTGAAGAAAAGGCTAGAAGTCAATTAACTTTAAACACTGAGATAATCATCATTTATTAACATATGCTGGTGCCTAAAATTTATGAACTTTTTATAAGAAGATTTCAATTTTTCATCTGTTCTTAAATTTAATTAGCTTTCTTGTCATATAGAAATCCTCATTGTTTCCTCCCTCGCAAATAATTGGGCTCCTCTTTGATTACTGGAAACAAGAGTGTAAGACGAGGCTAGAATTTCACTACCTTTGGAGGAACTTCTCAGTAGACATATAAATGCATTCTTGCCCCTACTACATGATCAGCTGAAAGCATTAACGCCCTACTGAGCATTCTGGAGAAACAGCACACCACTATGTTGTTGTGTTGAGAATACTTGGGTAGAAGAAGTAAAAGTAGTGAGAAGTAATCAGATTGTAGATATATAATGAAAGTAGAGACAAGAGGATTGGCTGATAGAGGTTATTTGGGAAGTGAGAGATATAGACTAACTCCAAAGTTTCTACCTTGGGGTTAAGAAAATTTCTTTTGAAAATGGAAGCAATAATAACATGTTTGTGTGTCCACAGTAACAGAAGACAAGGCAGAAAATGTGGGATATAGGCACAGATGCAGATAACTGGGCAGATGTGGCGGACACTTGTGGAAATACTCTTTTGATGACTTCAATTTCCTCAGTCGGACAGGATCTAAAATACAAGCTGAGAGTAAAGTTAGAAGAGTTGTTGAAAGTTTAAGGAAAAAGGAATATATCTAAGAAAACATGGAATGACTGCAGCATTAAGGGCTCTCTCTGAGTTTGTGGTCATAAATTTCAAGAGAGATCAGTCTGTACAGATATCAGTGTTTTTTGGCTACTTCAGCTATGCAAGGAGCTGGCAAGGAGTAAGTGGTAAGTAGCATTTTACCAGGGTTGGGTTATGACAGCAAGTCCAAGAGAGAGAGAGGGAAGGAGCAAGGGAGTTGAAGATATATGCATGAGAGTGACCATGGAATGGAAGATATTAGGGGACTGGCTGGCAGTTTAAAAGTGGCAGTATTAACACCACACCTTAGGTACTTCCCTTTCAAAGATGTTTTGATTTTTGCTCTCTTGTTCATATACTTTGTACCTGCTTATACAGCAGTGTTAAAATATGACAGAAATTATGAATTGTGACTCTGTTTAGAGCCTAGAATTATAATATGCTCAATTAGATATTGAACCCACCTTCTCGAAAGGGATAGGACATTGGCATGAGAATTTTGGTAGAGGGTGTATGAAGTGTGTGCATGTATGGAAGTGTGAAAATATACCCCCAAATTTATATAGATATATAAATGACTGGCAAATTAATTTAAAAAAATAAACAAATCTAGCTTCTCATGCTACTCAGCCTACTCTTTCTTCTAGCCCTGCCATGCAAATACATATTCACAGGCATACACATGTTTATAAAATAACAGCAGTTACCTTTAGGTAGGGACTATAGTTTTTTGATCCTATTTGACAAAACATAGGTGAAGGGTTTTTTTCCTGATACTTTCTAATTTCTAAATTTTCAATATTGAGTATGAAATGCTTCTGTAATTAAGAAAAGGTATTTGAAAGGACATATATATTTACACCCATATATAATTAAATACTGACTGTGCTCCCTAATGAAATGTTAGAAGACTTATTCAGGCAGGATTAAGAATATCGATAAAGTAAAGAAAATAAAGTATTTGAGAGCATGGAAGCTGACATACTTTTAAAAACTACCCCGTTTCATAAAACATATGCATGGACAAATGTCTAGCAAGTGAAGTACATTAAAATGCATGACACTGAAACTATAATTAAAACTGTAAAATATTTTTAAATTGGAAGAAAGGACCATTACAAACCTGCTTCCTGCTTTGAGCTCTTGCATTCCGCAATCTCCGAGCAGAATAAAAGATAAAATAGCCCACAGTTGCTGCCGTAATAATAAAGAAGGACACAGAAACGAAGAAAATTGAATAGTGATTCACCCAAGGGCCATGTTTCTTCCCTACTTCGATGACCATTGTTACTTGAATGCCATTTTGAATAGACTGTAGAATTTTTGTGCCTTTCAGATTGCCAATCATGATTGCAACAATGTCTCCAGCACCTGTAAAAGAAAAAGAATTCTGTAGTAGTTTGGGAAAGCTTTCTTAGTATCAAAATCCAACTGCTAAAGTGATTTTAAGCAATTCCCAATTAGACAGAGGAATGATATTAATTCCATTAACATTTACTGGATGCCACTTACTGTATGTATATATAAGTTACAGGGAGTATAAACATGCCTCAGACTTGGTTACTGAGTTGAAGGAATTCATAATTTAGTAAGGAAGCGATGATATATAACAAATACCTCCCATCTGATCAGGTTAACTACTTATAATTTAACAATATTAAGGTTGGGGTTGCAACTTGCTTCTTATATTAAAGGCAAAGCATCACTGACTTCTAGAGAATAGGGTTTACTAGGGAATCTGATATTTCAGAAAGAAATTATTAAGTATAATTTTCCATTTTATAAGGTGATAGACTATCTCTCGAACTCACTACTAAAAATGTTTAGGATTTATATATCAGGATAGGATTAGTAGTTTGAGCCAAAATGTCTACATACCCAAATGTCAAATCAAACATATCTTCATGAGCCTCAAGAGAAATAACAAATTTGTTTAAGGTGCACTAAGGTTCTGCATGGATTTGATCACAACAGCAATGGGGATATGTAGAACTGACAGAAGTGTATATTTCTATCCCTCCCTGACTAAAGACAAACCTGAAACTGGACTAAGCTTATTACTAAAGGCCTATTCTCAGTGACTCCTCCCTCTCTACCCTGACTATATAAGTCTTGAGGGAAAATAAAAGACAAACATTATCTCTCACAGCGTTATGAGAATGTCAGATTACTCATGCCATTTCAGTACTTATCAAGGTTTAGATTCCTTCCAGTTTATATAACCCGAGACCAACAATCTTAAGCAAAAGGATAGAGTTCTTTCAATGTTAAGATTGCCAATCAGAGAAAACTCACATTGATAGAAGGTTAAGGTACTAATCTAGGTTAATGATCAAACTTGAATCTGGAATAAACACACATGACTCTAACAGGCCTTTTAAATAGAATTTTAAACTTACAAGTACAATATGAAGGTAGTATCCTAACTTCTAATGTTCAAGAGCATAAGCCTTAAATGGCAATATACATTGTAGAATTATTATCTAAGTAATCCCTTAAATTTATGGTTCACAGTGATCAAAGTCTGCAAAAGACCAAGATCCACACCTTTCTTGAAGATATTAGTTTAAAAAAAAATTTGTAGGGTATTATAGATGGTTAAAATTCCAAAAAACACATTTTTCATATGATAGCCATTTTGCTAATCCCTTTTATAACTTTACTGATTCAGTTGCCATTACTCAGTTTGGTAAATGTTAACTCATTCTGCTCTCCTCTATCTGGGGAAAATCTCAAAAGCAAAGGGAAGTAAAGGAACCTGAAATACTTTCTATTGTATCTTTTTCTCTATCAGTATATAACCCAAATATCCCTTATGGGTCTAGCGAATGGGTTATTTTGCAAAAGAATGGCTCATTTTGCTATTTACTTGTGGGCTTTAAATTTCTAGCTTTGCCACTAGAAGCATAGATATTATTTCAATCCCCTTTTGTCACTATTTGTCTTTTCTCTACAAGCCATCTGTCAGGAAAATTTCTGATTATAAAGTTTTGATAAATTATATAACCTAGCATTCATTTCTCACATATTGTAACCTGTATGATCTTTGAGAACACAGAGAATTCTAAAAATCAGGTTTTGGAACATGTTACAATTTTCAAAATTTCTTTTTAAAATCACAGAGGTGTTCTTTCAAGGATTTTGACTATAGAAATATGTTTTCATTTCTTTAGAAGATATGAGGTAGGTGTAGGGGTGAATGCTCAGGAACATACTGGCCATTGTGGTCAGATAGAGATTAAAAAAAAAAAAAGGATAGAAAGAAAAAAAGCACAAGGATAGAGCCTCCCTGGTGGCTCAAGGGGTTAAGTCTCAGCACTATGAAGCTATCTCCAGCCACTGCAGCACGAATTGGATCCCTGGCCAGGGAGGTGACCCACATGGCACAGCAGGCCTCTCCTGTCTCTCCTGCTGCTCCCCCCAGCAGTGCATTTCAGTCAGTCTGCCTGTTCTGCTCCCCACTCTGTCTCTGGTGAATCCTCTCAACACTCCCCTCCTCGGCACCTCTGGCCTACACCTCAGTTCTTGTATGCAAGAACTTTAAAAATATCTTTTTAAAAAATCTTTTAAAAAAACCAAGGATAGTCAAGAAATGAACATTGTCCACAGCCCATACTCATCCAGACTATGTATAGTGCAATTAACTGTTGAATTAGCTTTCTAATCATTTAAAAGACTTATTTATAAGCACTGTCATCTATCTCCTCTTCTCCATGCTCTCACAACTATTTAAAACTGCTCCCCCTTCACTGTTCTCAATCACAAGTAATGCTGCCACAACCCACCTGGTTTAGAAGCCTCAGAATCATATTTGAATTCTCATTACTAGTATAATCAGATTGTAGCTGATACATCCCCGGCATCTCTTAATTTTTATTTTTATTTATTTTTTGCTGCCTACATAATCAGGACCTCATAATTTTTTTGCCTAAACTACTTCACTAACCTTCTAACTGGTCATTCTATCTCCAATTTTCTCCCCTCCCTAAAAGTTTCACCAAATTTTACCTTCCTGGTTGACTTTGTCATCACTTGGTTGGATTATGCCTCTTCCCTGTTCAAAAGTCTTTAGTGGCTCCTTATTACTCAGTCATTAAAGTATGACTCCATGGTCTAGCATTTAAAGTCCTGTATGATCTGGTCCCAACTGACCTTTCCAGTTTGATATTTCTGCACTACACGCCCATCTCATGAACACTAAGATGCAGCCCACAAGGGACTGGAGATTGTCATTCACTTTTTATAACTCTCCTTTTGTTTATTCTGACCCCTCTGCCTAAATATGCTAACATCTATTCTAAATTCCCCACTCTTTTTCTACCTGTCTATGTATTACTCAAGCCCCAGTGCAAATGTTACCTCCTATATTTTTTCCCAAATTCCAAGTAAAACATATAAACATTCCCTCTTTGTTCCCCTATCAATTGGTTTTTAATCTGTAGCTTGTACTTCATTTTTCTATGCATTTCAATTATCATGCTATACTCCCTTTTCTAAATTAAAAACAATTTATATTAACTACATTAATGGTTTAAATTAACAACAGTAATGCTTTCCTTTATCTGGTATTGTCAAGGAATTTAGGTGTTCCACATAAGTAAAATTTCCAAGTAACAAGTTTTACATACTTAATTTTAATAATTTTAAGATACTTTAAAAAAGCAACCTATACTGCTCTATTTTCTTTTCTTTTCTTTTTTTGTAGAGGCATGTTTTTATTTATTTATTTGTTTGTTTGTTTGTCTGTTTTTGTTTATACATGCACTGGGTACAGTCAGAAGCGCGGGAGGGTGAGAGAATTCACCAGAGCCAGTGCAGGGAGCAGAGCAGGCAGAAGGACCGAAGGACACTGCTGAGGGGAGCAGCGGGCGGCAGGAGAGGTCTGTGCGCCATGTAGGACCCTCCTCTGGTGGCCGGGGAGCAGCCGGGGATTGAACCAGCACCACAGAGGCCGCAGGCAGCTTCGCAACCCAGCGCTCAACCGCTGCGCCACCGGGGAGGCCCTCTATTTTCTTAATAGCGTATATTATGATTTATTATTGATAATGGATCATCTTTGTAAGCCATCATTTAACATAGCAGGACGGTTATTTGTCCCCAGAATATTACGATTTTTCACTAGTCAGATTTTTTTTTTGGAGCTTAAATGGACATTAGGCAACACCCACTCTGACTCATTTTGGAGTTCTCACTTTGGGCAATTTTTCTCTAGGGGAGGGAGGTTCTCACTTAACTTGTTGCTTCTAGAAGCTGCTTTACCAATTCCTAATTTTATACTTTTAATCTACTGTTAACTCTGAAAAGTCAACCAAGATTGGATCTAAAGAAAGAATAAAGCATGCTTGTAGAAAGTGGTTTGAGGACTTCAGTGCAAGTTCCCTCTGATATTTTGCTCAGTGACATTTCTGTTTACTTCCTGAGTCCTGACTATGTGCTGCATAACTGATATTGCCAGATAAGATTTATCTGTAAACTAAGTACTGTCCTAAGGACTTTATATGCATTAACATATTTAATCCTTACATCAACCCTATATGGTAGGCATTGCTAATTTCCCCACTAATGATAAAGTTGGCTAACTTGCTTAGAATAACACAAGCTATAAGGGCAGAATCAGTATTTGAATCCAGGCAGTTTGGCTCCAGTGCTTCTGCTCTTCAACACCATTCTGCATTAGCTCCCCTGTTTACAATGAAACCCAAAGCTATTATTTCACTGTAAAAATGGAAATTAAATAGGTACATAGGGTGGGAGTGGTAAAGACTCTGAGGGTGGAGGCGGGGGTGGGGAGAGGAAGAAGCCTTGATTTGTAGTGTGTGCCAATTTCCATGGCGTAAATAATCCTCCAAAGGCCACATAAATAGGGAGATGGTAAAATAAAGATAAAATTGGCTGAACCAGCTGATTCCAATATATCACTGCACCTCACTGAGTCAAAAGGTAAGTAAAAGTATACAATTCAAAACTTTTAACAAAGTAACTTTGCCTATTAATTTCACTTATTCATACTACCTTTTAAAACCAAAGTTTATATACAATGCCAAGTCAAATTTACTTTTCTACTTGCTATTCTGTTGAAAACCACAACGTAAGATATGTATTTTGAAACACCAAAGAACAATCAGACTTCCTTCTGTGGATCAGACTTCCTTCTGTGGAACGAAAAAAAAAAAATAATCACCTCTTTCTGATTGTGTGTTGCTAATGGAGCCTTTTGCCCCCTAAGCATTTTCTCTGTCCTTAAAATATTGGAGATTCAGGGGACTGTTTGTATGCTTCAGCTACTCCAAACATCTCAAATTAAATTAGTGACTTTGTAAGTGATCTTTTTAAAGCATCACAAAACATATTCTGGATGTACAGCTAGCCAT